TTTGTATGGAATCAGAAAAAACCCTTAATCACCAAGGAAATGTTGAAAAAGAAAAACAAAGCTGGGGGCATCACGTTGCCCAATTTCAAGCTATATTACAAAGCTGTGATCACCAAGACAGCTTGGTACTGGCACAAAAACAGACACATAGATCAATGGAACAGAATAGAGAGCCCAGATATGGACCCTCAACTCAGTGGTCAAATAATCTTTGACAAAGCAGGAAAAAATATGCAATGAAAAAAGACAGTCTCTTCACTAAATGGTGCTGGGAAAATTGGACAGCCACATGCAGGAGAATCAAACTCGACCATTCTTTAACACCATACACAAAGATAAACTCAAAATGGATGAAGGACCTCAATGTGAGATAGGAATCCATCAAAATCCTAGAGGAGAACATCGGCAGTAACCTCTTTGACATCGGCCACAGCAACTTCTTTCAAGATACATCTCCAAAGTTTAGTGAAACAAAAGCAAAAATGAGCTGTTGGGACTTCATCAAGATAAAAAGCTCTGCACAGCAAAGGAAACAGTCAACAAAACAAAGAAACAATTCACAGAATGGGAGACGATATTTGCAAATTACACTACAGATAAAGCACTGGTATGCAAGATCTATAAAGAACTTCTCAAACTCAACACCCAAAAAGCAAATAATCAAGGCAAAAAGTGAGCAGAAGGCATGAACAGACACTTCTCCAAAGAAGACATACAAATAGCTAACAGACACATGAAAAAATGTTCACCATCTTTAGCAATCAGGGAAATTCAAATCAAAACCACATTGAACACTTCATCAAAAACTAATGATGTAATGTATGGTAATTAACATAACATAATTTAAAAAAACCAAAAAAACAAAAACACGTTGAGATACCACTTTGCACCAGTTAGAATGGCAGTAATTGACAAGGCAAGAAACAACAAATATTGGAGAGGTTGTGGAAAAAGGGGAACCCTCTTACATTGTTGATGGGAATGCAAGTTGGTACAGCCACGATGGAAAACAGTGTGGAGGTGCCTCAAAAAACTAAAAATAGAACTACCCTATGAACCAGCAATTGCACTACTGGGTATTTACCCCAAAGACACAGATGTAGTGAAAAGAAGGGCCATATGCACCCCAATGTTCACAGCAGCAATGTCTGCAAGAGCCAAACTGTGGAAAGAGATGAGATGCCCTTCAACAGATGAATGGATAAAGATGATGTGGTCCATATATACAATGGAATATCACTCATCCATCAGAAAAGATGAATACCCAACTTTTGCATCAACATGGATGGGACTGGAGGAGATTATGCTAAGTGAAATAAGTCAAGCAGAGAAAATCAATTATCATATGGTTTCACTTATTTGTTGAACATAAAGAATAGCATGGAAGACATTAGGAGAAGGAAGCGGAAAAATGAAGGGGGAGAAATCGGAGGGAGATACAAACCATGAGAGACTATGGATTCTGAGAAACAAACAGAGGGTTTAGAGGGGAAGGGTGTGGGGGGATGGGTTAGCCGGGTGATGGGTATTAAGGAAGAGCACATGCTGCATGGAGCACTGGGTGTTGTACAAAAACAATGGATTGTGGATCACTACATCAAAAACTAATGATGTAATGTATGGGGATTAACATAACAATAAAAATTTAAATTAAAAAAACTAATGATGTATTGTATGGTGACTAACATAACATAATCAAATCAAATCAAATAAATAAAATCAAATAAAATAAATAAAATAAAATAAATAAAATAAAATATAACTACCATATAATCCAGCATTACACTCTTAGGTATTTACTGAATTACCTAATTTGAAGGGATGCATCATTCCTGATGTTTACAGCAGCAGCAACAATAGCCGAATTATAGAAAGAGCCCAAACATCCATAGATTGATGAATGGAGAAAGAAATTTGATGGAATATTACTCAGCCAAAACAGGAATAAAATGTTGCCATTTGCAAGGACAGGATGGAGCTAGGGTACTATGCTAAGCGAAATAAGTCAGAGAAAGACAAATACCTTATGATTTCACTCATATGTGGAATTTAAGAAGCAAAACAAATGGACATGGGAAGGAAATAGAGAAAACCAAGAAGTGTTCAATCCTGAAGGACCTGGGACTGGGGCAAGCACATGAGGATTATGGCCCTCAGCAGGCCATGGTGTTTCCTACATTAGAGCTAAGGTGCTACATTCAGGTTAATGAAGCCAGGGTTCATGGCCCCTGGGACAGAACCCTCAGTGATGTTACCAGATGTCTGGAACTGTGCTTGGAATCCAATTCTGTGGAAGGCAGGGCAGAGATGCTGCAAGCACAAGGGTCAGTTAGCACAGGGATGGGTGTAAACCATCAGACACACTCAAAATGTGGAATCATGTAAGGGTGCTGGGTGGGTGCTGGTCATGATCTGATAGCTTTTATTTTTTAAAGATTTTTTTTATTTATTTGACAGAGAGAGAGATAAGGAGAGCAGGAACACAAGCAGGGGGAGTGGGAGAGGGAGAAGCAGGCTCTCCACTGAGTAGGGAGCCTGATGCCCAGCTCAATCCCAGGACCTTGGGATAATGACCTGAGCCAAAGGCAGACACTTAATGACAGATCCACCCAGGCACCCCATGATCTGACAATTTTAAATAGTTTTTCTCTATAAAAGTTTTCTAGGTTTGCAGTTTTGTCTTTGTTTTCCCCTTTACTTTCTTTTATTTTTTTTTTTTCATTTTTATAAAAGCTACAAAATTAACAAGTAGTCTCCAGGAATAGTAGCCTCTCATGCTTCTTTTGCTTTTTCCTTTGTAGACCTGGAGCCCGGGAGAGGTGGAAGGGCAAGAGGTTCTCTATAAACATTGGACTTGGGGTGAGTCAGGGGCTGGTATTTAGCAAAGCCAGGAGTCCCAAGGTGAAGTACATGTCCCTCCAGCCACAGGCTTTGGGAGATTCAGCGTGTGCTCCCCAACCCCATCACAGAAAAAGACAATGGTTAAAACCAGAACAGATGACCAGGAAGGGGTTACCATGGCCATTCCCAGCACCAGCATCGGAACCAAGGGCTGACTTGAAACAGAGAGACCTGTATCAGCTCCTCTCCTGAGTCTCTGGAGCTGAGGGAAGGGTTGAGGACCCATAAACAGAAAGAAGAAAGGGGGAAGGTGGCCAATGTGGGTTGGGGCCACTTGGGGAGCCTAGTCCTCTTGCCCCCATTTTCCTCAGGGGTTGTGGGAGCAGAGTTCGTGCTGTCTCATCTTGTGAGAGCCCACTGGCCCTCAGAAGAGGCTGCAGTCCTTCAAGTTGTTCTTGATGATGAAGCTGGTGAGAGCATCAAACACCAACTGCATGTTCTTAGTGTCACTAGTCCAGGTGAGGTGTGTATAGATCACCTTGGTATCCTTGCACTTGTTCAGTTCTTCAGACTTATTCTGGATGTAGCTGCCTGCCTAGTCATACTTGTTGGCCCCTAGCCTCATCTGTGAAGGAGGGGTTGGCAGAGTTAATCTGCAGATTGCCCAAAGCTTTGACAATGGCCATGATCGACTAGATGGTGTTGATGTAGAGGACTGCATGGTATTGCCAGCATTACTCTTGTGAGTAGCTATCCTCATGGATGATCTTCATCTGTTTGACAATGGTTCTCTTCCCTGACTCCTTAGCACCCAAAAGCAGCAACTTCAGCTCCCGTGCCACCTTCTTGCTGTCATTCTGAATGTTTTTGTTGATTATCTTGGAGAGCTGGACCACCACCTTGTCCTTGGCACTCATGGTGCGGCCCGTCCTACCATATTCTGCTAGCTTTCCCCAACACACTGGGCTCCCTCCACACACAGGTAGCTCTACAGTTGGCAGTAGATAATCTTCATATATTGAGTCTCAACAAGAAATACCACATAGGAATTAAACACTTTCCTAGTTGAAGAAACACAAGTAATTAAATGTTTTAAACTAATTTAAGAAGTAATAAAATTAAGTCTAATTTTAATAAGCTATTAAAAATCCAAATTAATAATACTAAAGCTAAATATTAAAAGTATCTAATTTTATTTATTTATTTATTTATTTGTTTATATAGATAGATATTTTTCATATAAAATAAAAATGGTAGTGGATAAAATCTAGTGGATAAAGAGTAAAAGAATCTGAATTATTCTGCAAAATTATAAATATTTTGATATATGTCTGATTTTTAAATTATTTTTTACCCTTAATTAAGACCTTTAGTTTCAGAGTCTGCACATCTATTCTAAAGAAATTCTCATTTAAGAGATACTCAAGAAGACAAGTATTTAATGCTTTTGTTAAATTTCTATTTATTCTGTAGCAAAATTTCACAAATTCTGTGGTTTAATGGCATGTTTTGTTTTAAAGTGCTGTAATTTAGAAATCCAACACCAACCGCACTGGGATAAAATAAGGATGTGGTTGGTATGGCTGCATTCTTTTCTTGGGTCTCCAGTGAACTATCTGTTCCTGCATTTTCCAGTCTCCAGAGGCTGCCTCTGTCTATATATTGGCTCATGACCACCTCCCATCTACAAATCCAACAATGGAAGACCACACTTCCATAGACACATCTCCCTCTAACAAGTCTGGAAATATCCCACTTTTGATTAGATTAGGGCTCCTTGGATAGTCTAAGATAAGCACCTCATCTCATGCTCATTAATTGAATTACATCTGAGTTCCTGTATGTCATGTAAAGTAATCTATTCACATATTCAAAAAAAGTAGTACATGGACATCTTCAGTAAGCCATCTGAAAAACTGTTGTAGTGTTTCTGAAACAATTTACATGCACAGATACTAGGTAATGAATATGCTATTCTTGGAGGTTCTGAGTTAATGAATGTTTATTAATAAGCATGAATATGTCAACTTTATCCTAGCACTTTTAAATAAAGTGAATATTTTATTATATAGGATATCGATGTCCACCCTAGATTATAAGATTATATATATATATATATATATATATATATATGGAATTTAGCTTTATATATTCTAGTTTTATTGTTTTTCCCCATAGAATGTATAATGACTTAGTTTCCATAGAAACCTCTTCACAGCTGCTTTGATTTCCTTGTTCCTTAGGCTGTATATTATGGGGTTCAAAGATGGAGGCAACACAGAATAGAACACAGACACCAAAAAATCCACAAGATGTGGAGAATCAGGGACTGGCTTCAGATAGGCAATGGTGTCTGTCACAGTAAATGTTGTTACAACTATGACATGTGGTGTGCAAGTGGAAAAGGCTTTTGACCACCCTTGGAATGATGGCATTCTCAGCACTGTACTGAAAATGTACATATATGAAAAGCCAATGGACACTAAACAGAAAAGTGCATACATAACCCCAATTGCCTCACTAATATCAATGATGACATAAGACTTTGATCAAGAGATCTTCAGTAGGGAGGGGACATCATAGAAAAACTGAGGAAATTTTCTGGAGCCACAGAAAGATAAAGAGAAAGTACCAGCTGAATATAAGACCCCAAAGATACTCCCAAGAGACCAGGAGGCAGCTGTCATCCTCACACAGACTCTCCTGTTCATGCTGACATCATAGTGCAGTGGGTGACAGATGGCCACATAGCCGTCATAGGACATGGCAGTTAGAAGGAAAAGCTCAGACCCAGAAAAGTGAATGACTAACAATACCTGTAATACGCATCCCAAGAAAGAAATGGTGTCACTGTGGGATAAAGAGTTCAGGATAATTTTGGAAGTGTGATGGAAATGAGGCAGGCATCAAAAAGTGATAAATTCTTCAGGAAGAAGTACATGGGGGTGTGAAGACAATAATTCAGAGTGATCAGGACAATAATGAGATTTCCCATAAGAGTCACCAGGTAAATAAGCAAAAACAGAAAGCCATGTAAAACCTGGAGCTCTCTGGTGTCAGAGAATACCATGAGGAAGAATTCCATCCCTGCTGACTGGTTGGTCACGTTTTCCAGTCTATGTTGGACAAAGGAGAGTAAAGACAACATCAGGTTCTTGTTAAGTCTTTCTCCTTTCCAAGAATGTTTTTATGTAAGAATTCATCTATTTTGTGTTTATAAGACATGCACATTTTTACTCCCCCGACATGCATGTTAGGGTTTATGACTTCTTCACTATGCCACCCCTAATATGTGTCTGAATTTGATGTATGTTAAGTGAGCAGATCAGGAAGACTAGGAAGAAAGAATAGGAAAAGCCTTTCATTTATGAGTCCTTGGTATGTTTATGATGAAACATGTGTCTTTATAAAATATATCCTGAAGTATTAGTTCAGTACTCTAAATGAAATCTTAAGTACACTGAATAAGTTTTCAAATCATTTCAAATAATAGAAGGTAGTCACTGAATATTTTTGTAAAAGAGATTGGTTTTAGATACATTACCTTTATCTACAAGAAGTAAGTAAAAATTTTCATTTCATTATATGATTAAAGACATTACACTAAAGAATAAAAATGAAATGTATAACAGAAAGGAGATGCAAAAATGTGGACAGAGAATTAATAAATATGGACTTATATCATTACCATGAAAAAAATAATAGTTATAGATGAAAAAAAGAGAGAAGGATATAGAATATGGGGAAAAGTCCACCTTTCCTACCCAGTGGCTGCTCATACATCTACTCTCCCACATGTGTTCATGCACGCTCACACAATCTTGTACACACATTCATTTCCAGGATATATATCCAATGTTTTTTGGGTCAAGATAGGAACAAACTTTAGAGAAAAGTGGTTGAGAATAAATTGAAAATGGTAAATATAAACAGAACAATGAGGAATAGCATCACTGGCAGAAATGCTTCCTTCAATGATAAGTTATAGTATCTTTGAAAAATAGCATGTAGGAAATATCTTATAAAAGCTATACAGAATAATTAATAATTACTAATGCTTATTAACAATTAATTAATATTTACTAATATACAAGAAATTTAGCTGTAGACAATTTGTCATTTTCTACAAAATGTCAATTTTTACTAATTCTTAAAAGAAGAGGATCTCAACTGAATTCTATCCAATATGTCAAGCCTTCTCAAATTATTTTATTTTATTTTAAAGATTTTTATTTATTTATGTGACAGAGAGAGACACAGCGAGAGAGGGACCACAAGCAGGGGGAGTGGGAGAGGGAGAAGCAGGCTCCTCGCTGAGCAGGGAGCCTGATGGGGGCTCGATCCCAGGACCCTGGGATCATGACCTGAGCCGAAGGCAGACGCTTAACTGACTGAGCCACCCAGGCGCCCTGTCTTCTCAAATTCTTGAAAGAGAGGAGTAAACAACCATTCTAGATGAGACAGTAGCACATTTAGAAGGCTCATATTATAATTGTGGCATCAATATGAATGTTAGAAAATTGACTTATAGTTCAAACCAAGAAGGCTATCAAGGCATTTAGTAATTTATGTCCTCATGTAAGGATTACTATATTTTAATTTATTTTTATTTTATTGAGACATATCATAAATATATTATGACTGCATATATCATAACTGTAGAATTTGATGTAAAGACTAATTTCAACTAATATGTCTTATGGATGATTTCCTTGAAGCTGATGAAGAGTTGAGATTGAAGGAGTCAAGTGTCTGCTCTGGTGTTTGGCAAAGCAGCGAAACCTGAAGATTTTCACTCTAATATTAATCGAGTGACTCTTTGCCAGCCAGACTGCATTGTTGAGTAAGAGGTTAGTAAGTTTTTACAATATCTTCAAGAAATACAGTATCATTTTATAATTACTTTTTGGAATTCCCCTAAAAGTCAGAACTTTGCACATTTTTTTAAAAAATTGCCCTGGAACTATCTTCTGAGACAACACATTTGGAATCTGAATTTTTGTGATATAGACAAAAAATATTTTTCTAATGTGTCTTTAAATGTCTTGTTTGTCACCCATATTGCAATGACTAAAAATGAAATGCAATTGACAAAAGTTAAAGGAAAGCATGAAGTCAGGATGGAATAATTGAAACAGGACCAAAGAATACATTTTTCCAACAAGCACTGTAATTAACTTATTTTCTCATTGAGGACATTTGTTTTTTACTCTCTGATCCTAGTCCTTTCCACCACAAAATGGAGAGATTGGATTTATGTTTCCAGTGAAACTTTCATCTCTAAACTGGGTTTATTGCTTATAGTACATAATAATATTAATCAAATTCAAGGGTGTGCCAGGCTTTATCTTATTACTTTGAGTATTATAGTTTGATCCTATTTGCACCCTACATCAACATACTCCATTAAATACTGGTGTTATCACCATATTGTACAAGATAATATAGGCTTAGGGAGTTTTAAAAATTCAATGAAATAGATTTCTCTCTTTGCTATGTAGTTTTGTTTTAAATTACTATGTTTTACTCTATATAATTGAACCATCAGTGTTTTGTTTTTTTTTTTTTTAGATCTGAGATTTCTGGTGAAGATGCTTAATGAGGTTTTCTTTGTGTTATTATAAATATGATTTAAATTTAGTTTCATGCCCATGTTAAGAAGATAATACATACCTTTGATTCTTAAGGATGTCCATTGGGATAATCATTTTTATGGAGACTGGATCAGACATAACGCCTCATAGGTAGTGCTCTGTAGACAAAGATCATGACCCTTACTACGGTGGCTTCCTGTCTAATTCAGGTCATTTTGAAGCAATTAAAGTGTATACTTCAAAGTAAATGTATACATACATATATATGCATATACATAAATACTCTACTTGCATGAATAGCTACTTATTGAAATCCAAGTTTTCATAGAGAAAAACATTTTTTGTACCTTTCTGTTCATATGTAGCCCATAAAGGATTTTTCACCCATTTATATTCCTACAAATTTATGAATACCTGGCGTTCATCTTACCTGCTATGATTCAAAATTCTAGGTTTCTGTTGATTCCCAATGTCTTCCTTTTCTTGATAGTTTTTCTGCTGTTCATAGTATGAGGGAGAAATTAATGATGATCATCTTGTCTGAAGTCTTCCTCTTATATTATCAAAGAGCATAAAATACTTTTCAATTTGTTGTGTATCACCCTTTGGGAAAACTATGGATCTACAGAGAAGCAAGAGTCCCTTCAGGACTATGAGTGTATTTCTGTATGAAAACATATTAACTGGGATTAATCAGTGGCATTTAGCCCTGGCATGAATATCTGACACCTCATACTCTTGCTTTTGAGAGATGTCTTTTCCCAGGTCATTGGAAATATACTACTGGGCCTCTGCAAGAAGAAAAAACAACAGATAGAGTCCAGTGCACTTTATTTAACATTAGATTTTAATCAAGAGGGAATGGGGTGCCTGGGTGGCTCAGTCGGTTAAGTGACTGCCTTCGGCTCAGGTCATGATCCTGGAGTCCCAGGATCGAGTCCCGCATCGGGCTCCCTGCTCAGCGGGGAGTCTGCTTCTCCCTCTGACCCTCCTCCCTCGCGTGCTCTCTGTCTCTCATTCTCTCTCACAAATAAATGAATAAAATCTTTAAAAAAAATAAGAAAAAAAAAGAGGGAATGAATTTATATGTTCTAAATTATATGACAAGCTAAATATTAAGCCTCTATATGTTTTTGAGGGTGCAAAGAAATTTGGTTTTAATTAGTTTTGTTTATGATCTATATTTATAGTACTGTGTATTGTTTTCTCCACACTTGTAAAATCTGCTTTGATTTAAAATATTTCTTAAACTTGAACATTTGTGATACAGATATAATAATTTCTCTAATGATTTTGCTGATGTCCTAATTGTGACAGTATTAAAATGTATAAAAACTAAATGCACTTGATAAAAATTGAAGGGAAACATGGAGTCAGGATTATATACTTGAAACAGACACAAATATACCATTTTTTCAATAAGCATTATAATCAATGTGCTTAGCTTAGTATGTTTCCTTTCACTGTCTGGCCCTAGTTCTTTCCATTATAAAATGAAGTCATTGAATGTCATGAATTCTAAGGAAATTTTATTTATAAACTGGATTTATCACTTAAATACATAGTTATATTGGTCAAACTTAAATATGTGCCAGGCAGTCCTCTGAGTACATTGAATGGTATACTCAGTCCCATTTCTACCCCACGATAACACTTTCAACTAGGTGATATCATTATTAACATATATATACAATATATACTCCCTGAAACTTCCTTCCCAGTATTAATAAGCATCATCTTCCACCCTCATCCAGATGTTAATAGAGATCAAACAGAGAATGAAGGTTTCTACTTTCAACCATCAAGAACAAGGAACCATGAGAGACGATGGACTCTGAAAAACAAACTGAGGGTTCTAGAGGGGAGGGGGTGGGAGGATGGGTTAGCCTGGTGATGGGTATTAAAGAGGGCACATTCCTCATGGAGCACTGGGTGTTATACGCAAACAATGAATCATGGAACACTATATCAACAACTAATGATGTAATGTATGGTGATTAACATAACATAATAATAATAAAAAAAGAACAAGGTAGCCATTTTACCCAACAGACCAATAGCAGAGAAGTTCTGCTAAAACACAAGATTTACAGAAGACACATGTATCTTATACTATTATAATTTAGATGTCCAGTTTTAAAAGAACAACTCACTCCTCATACCAATAACAATGAAAATCCCCAAACTGAGAAAAGACAATAAAGAGTTGTCAACAATAAAATGATGGAAATGTTAGAATTATGTGACAAAGTACTTAACTCAGTCACCAGAAAAATGATTGAAAAACAAATTATAAATATGCTTGAAACAAATGAAAACATAGAAGCCTTCTGCAATAAAAAATGCTCAGAAACATATAGATGATAAAAAAATCAAAATTTAATAACTAAGGGGAGCCTGGGTGGCTCAGTTGGTTAGGCATCAAACTCCTGATTTCAACTGAGGTCAGGGTCTCAGGGTCATGAGATTCAGTCCCACGTTGGGCTCTGCTCTCAGCACTGAGTTTGCTTAAGATCTTTCTCTCCCTTCCTCTTTCCCTCTCCCTGCTTATGTCCTTTCTCTCTCTCTCCTCCTCTCTTTCAAATAATAAATAAATAAATAAATAAACTTTTTTTAATTAAATTTTTGCAGTGTGTTGTAGTATTTTGAGTTAAAATCCATCTCTATGTATTATCTATCTACCCTATCATGTATCTATCATCTATCTATCATATATCTCTATGATTCTGTCATATTTATATCTACATATAAAGTGAATAAATATGTTTTCATTAACACTAAAAGTCAAGAAGATATAATAAAATTATGACATTTGAATTGATTGGTATGAAGCACTGTTATATAGAACTACTTAGAGGGTGCATATAATTATTGCTTTAAAATCTTATTAATACCAGGGGCACCTGGGAATCTCAGTTGGTTGAGCATCTACGTTTGGCTTGGGTCATCATCCCAAGGTCCTGGGATTCAGCCCCTTGTTGGGCTCCCTGCTTAGTGCAAGTCTACTTCTCCCTCTCCCTCTTCCTTTACCCCCTCTCATGTTCTCTCTCATGTGCTCTCATGCTCTTTCTCAAATAAATAGATAAAATGTTTAAAAAATATAAAAGTGTATCAATACCAAAGGCTGAATATTATTGACCTTCATCTCAGCAATAAAGAATACTTTTAGTTTCAAAGGAAAATTATAAATGTAAGAATGGAAAATAATTAACTGGGAAAACAGAAATAACATAAAGAAAATTTTAAAAGCCAATGAGCACTGGGTCTTATATGCAAAATTAAACAAATTAATTTATTTTTATAAATATTTTTTTAAATTAAATAAATAAATATAAATAAAAAGCAATGACTTGAAAACAGTAAAAAACATAATAAAACTTTGGCAAAACTAGGCAAGATTAAAAATGAGAGCAACACATAAGAATTCTCTTATTCTATTTTTAAGATATTGCATTGTCGTCACATCTTGATTCCTATATATAGGGGTATATGTTTCTCTCATTTTTAATATTCATGAGTTTTGCCAAAGTTTTATGATGAGCACTGGGTGTTATAAACAACTAATGGATCATTGAACATTACATCAAAAACTAATGATGTACTATATGCTGTAGGCTGGCTAACAACATAATAAAGAAAAAGGAAAGAAAGAAAAAAGAATATTCATGTGTTATCACTATGATGGAAAAAATTCAATTTGGCAAATCGGCCATTTATTTACTGTTATGTTATGTTGTTATGTTATGTTATGTTGTTATAAATCTGGGACCACAAAAAAAGAGAATGTTACAAAAATATTAGTAAATAGGATTATCAAAGTAAACTAGTAAGTCTGACCTCCCTAAAAAATGACATAATATTAAGATACAGGAAATTTAGGTTGTGATACAACTTTTAATTAAACAGAAATCAGAGATTATACACTGTATATATTTAGTAAAGCCTAACAAATTACCATAAACTAATGGCTTAGACCACAAATATATAAAATCATAAATAAGTGTTTTCCATGGGTTAGAAGTGTGCACACAGCTTAGTTATGTCCTATGCTCCAGGTTTCACAAGGCTGAACTCAACGTATTGGCCAGGCTGAGTTCCCATTTGTAGCCCAGGATCCTCTTCCAAAACTATGTTGCTGTTAGCAGATTTATTTCTTTGCAGGTGTAGAATGCATGTTGGCTTACTTCTTCAGGGTCAGCACCAGAATTTCTCTATTTTCAAAAATAATGCCAATCCACAAGTTCTAATCAATACTGTAGTATGAAGAACTATGAAGTAAGGCAAGCAGAAGAATAAAAGACATAACTGGAAATTTTAAAAAAGAAAATTTTTATTTCTGCCAGTTATATTTGGAGATGTGGAAAATTATATACTTATGAATAAAATATAAATTTTATATGGTTGTTAGTTTATTATCATTTATTTAAAATAGATTTATTTAGAAATGTACAATTTTAAAGTATTATCAATGAATCATCTCTTATAATTTTATTAATACATCCAGTATTAATAAATTATCATGCTTAACAAATCAATATATAAATATTAACTGAATTTATATATATATAATATATATATGAAAAAAGTATGCCATCAAAGATGGCAAATATCAGACAATAGATGTGCATATGATTTTTGAGAATTTTGTATAGAACACCATTTTTTAAATAAAGATTTTATTTATTTATTTGACAGAGTGAGAGAGCACAAGCAGGGGGAGCAGTCGAGGGAGAGGGAGAAGCAGGCTCCCCGCCAAGCAGGGAGCCCGATGCGGAGCTGGATCCGAGGACCCTGAGACCATGACCTGAGCCGAAGGCCGATGCTTAACCCTCTGAGCCACCCAGGCGCCCCGGTATAGAACACCATTAAAATAATATAATGTTGTTTGGAGCATAATAGATGAATACCTATTGTTCATCTTAATATAATAAAATATAAAATATTTTTCTATATTGTCTTTGCATTATTTTAGTCTCAAAATTACAGTTAAGTATTAAGTATACCGTGTTCTCAATATATATTAATTTAAATTGTTTCCGTTTTTTTTTAAACTTTTCAATCCTGATTACATTTGAAGGATATTAATTCTTTGTGTGGTTGGAACACATTAACTGAATCATGCTGCAGAATTTGTCAGA